CCAATCCAGCCCCCCTCAAAACACACACAGGTTGCTGAGGGCCATGTCCAGTTGAGTTTTGAGTATCTTCAAGGATGCAGATTCCAAAACTTCTCTGGGCATCTTTTCCAGTGCTTCTGAAAGATGGGGTTTTTTTCCCCTTTTTTCCCCCTCTACTATCTGGTTGGCTTTTCCCTTCTTTCCACTTGGGTCTGTTGCCTCTTGTGCTGTCACTGTACACCTCCATGAAGGGTCTACCCTTGCATTACCCAGTTGATGACAATAGCAAGATCACTTGAGCTTCTTGTTTTCCAGGCTGAACATTCCCAGCTCTCTCAGCCTCTCTTCATATGTCAGGTGACCTCCACCAGGTTACCAGCACCTCCAGCCATCTTGGTGGCCTCCCCTGGACTCACCCCAGTGTGTCCATGTCTCTTGCACTGGGGAGCCCCAGCACCAACACAGCACTCCAGATGTGGACTCTCAAGGCTCAGATGGGAGGAATCACTTGCCTGAGCACTGTTGCTACTCCAGCCCAGGACACTGTTGGCCTCCTTTGCCACAAGGGTGCATTGCTGACTCATATTCAATGTGATGTCCACCAGCACCCCAAGGTCCTTTTCTGCAGAGCTGCTTTCTAGCCAGGGACCCCAACTTCTACTTGTTGTGCCAGGCCCTGTATTAAGGGACGGATTGCTGCTCGTTTTAAAGAATGAGTGCTGAGGCTATTCCTAACAATAATGTATTAATTTATTGCTGCTATAATTACAAACAATGCCATCAACATGTAAGTAGATGCAAACTTTCCTGAGTAACAACAGCATCTGATAAAGGAGGTCAACTTTTCTAAATACTGATCCGTTAAGCTGAAATTTTTCAAATGGCTGTTCTCCCTGCTCTCCTATGCTTGTTTGTTCATTTGTTTCAGCTCTTTAGTGTCAGTTCTGTCCCTGACACTATCAAAAGAATGCTTGGCAGTTATTGTCCTCTCTTGGGAAGATCTGGCTCCCCTTTTTTTGAAATGGGCATTTGAAATGGGGAAAGACCTCTATGGTAGCATTGCATTTGAGCCTGCTGTTTTCCGTATGAAAAATTCCTAAAACTTTGCCAAATTGTGAGTCTCTCAAAGCAGCAGTTTGCAAATGCCCCAAATAAATTTGCTGTGTTCCTTGAGCAAAAGGTGCTCAAGAAAGCTGAAATCTAAACGTTTTCTTGAACCTCACAGACCTTTTTGGCCAAATCTTGCAAATGCTAACCTACAGAGTAATTGAGCATGCTCTGGCATAAAGCTGAATATGTATCCTCTGCAATTTGTGTTGTCTGTGGCCGAATATGATGCTGAAATCCAAGCAGAAAGTAATTGGCTTCCTGTTTTCCATCCTGCCCAGGCACTGTATGTAGATAAGGAAGAGCATCACAAAAGTGTGAAGATGAAGTAGGAAGCAGGCTAGGTGATGCGCTTTAGAAACAGAGAGAAAAAGACAGGACTCAGGGAGAAGGAAAGAAGATGCCAAAAAGTTCCTGACTTTTCAGGACTCTGAACTTACGCTTGAAGAAATGGCATCCATTTGTTAGGGCAAAAGTGTGATCACTTTCGTTGTGGAGCCACTACCTGACAGGTACAGGTCCTCAATGCCGAGTTACAAGATCCTAATGTTGACCACCTTGAATGTAAGTTCTGGTATGTAGTTTCAAATAATGTAGGCTTTTAGAGCTAAGCACTCAGAAACTGTGAAACCCCAGGCTGAAGATTGTCAGTGCAATTGTAATATGATCCCTCTGTTCACATTTAGAATTGGATTCTACTGGATCTGCTGGATCACAGAGATTGTGGGTGATGCTGTACATATCATTGGAGACGAGCTTCTCACAAGTGGCCTCGATCCATGTGTCCATTCACTGACGTCCGGCTTGTTACTTCGCAATCTTACCCAGCAACGTGCCCGAGGCTTGCAGCAGTGACGCAAGTCAGAAGGAGCTGACTTCTGAATGTACCAGGTACAAGGAACTGTGCTTGAGGTGCCTAAAGTGGGCATCATAACTCATCAAGAGTGAGAGTGTGGTCCTTAATCACCCTGGGCTAAAACCTGTGTCTGTGGACAGGGGTTGTTAGACCTGCCCTCCCCCGAAAGACTGTTACGAGTTTATGGAGCTTTCCATGGATTTCACAGGAGAAATCCCTGAGGAAATGAACAGTAGTAGCATAGTAAATGAGATATCTGTCCATGAACTGAATGATAAATATTAAATTTTAAGTTGTACAACTTCTATTCAGCACATATAGACTGTAGGCAGAGACTTGGTGGAAGTGATAGGACATAGGCCAATGTTTAACTGCATGATCTTCCTGTGTGTAGGCAACACCGTGGTGCAATCTGAGGCCATGCTTGACAGTTCCTTACTCTTCTTTTAATGCTTGACTGTTTAACCTTTCATGTTGTATTAAAAAAAAAATTATATTTTTACAGAGATGCTGCAGAATTAGTATGCACATGAACTTTTACAGCATTAGTATTTTCATGTTGTGAATTACCATGTCTTTGCTTCTCCATTTCTTCCAATTTTTATTTTATCCAACACCTTTAAAATAGTTGTAGGTGAGAAAAATAAATTGCAAGTTACACTTTTGAGGGTAGGGGGAAGGAAGGATAGACCTATTCCTACAAAATTATGAGTTTATTATGCAGGAACTCGTAGTCAGTGTGGTTCTCAGTTTGTGTTTTCTTTGACAAGCACAAAAAATAAAACGTAATTATTGTTGAGCCAGTTGTCAGTCTGCTCTCTGTGGAAGGCTGACAAAATTTAGTTTTTCTCAAGTTCAGGGAATGGTAAGCACAAAGGCAACACAGTCCCGCACACACGTGATTTAGTTTACATGAGTGGCACCTTGCTGCTGTGGATTGTCATTTTAAAGTCATTATCAACATTGCTTGCTGTTTCCAAATGTAGTGGCTAAACACAAAAAGAATAAACTGCTGAAGACAACACACAGCAGTTCAAGGGTCAGACGCAGAGTGGGGATCATCAACTCTAGGGAAGCCAGTAAGAGTCAGGAATGCAGAGAAGCAATGTGCCTGGTTTTCAGAGCCACATCTACATTTCAGGTGGAAAGCATCTCAGAAACAGTGAGTGATTAGAAGAGATCTAAATAATCCCGAGATTTCTAGATGCCTTTGTTCCCTTTCCACCGTGCCATCTAGAAAGTGGTCCACTACTTCCAGAAAGGAAGGGCAGATGTTCTCACTGTCTCTGTGCATCGCCATACAGTTTTAAAGCCAAGTAAACTCGACTTTTAAGCTGCACCACACTTTATTTTTTTCCTTTAAGATGGGGGTTTTTCTTGATTTTTTATTATTGCTGAGGTGAAAAAACCTTTCATTTCCTAAAGCCTTCTCTATATGATTGAGTTGAATCTATGTGGCTTATGTTTTAAATTCGAACAATTATCTTGCATGTGTGGATTCCTGAATGAAAGCTCTTCTCTCAGGATATTAATGGACTTTCTTGGTTTACATTGCTTGTAAAAGAATTGGTTTAAGTTGAAATTCACTTTTTTGCTTCAATGTAAATGTGATCCTAATCAGGACACTTCTCAAGACCAGTATATACTCCCAATGAACTACAGAAACCCAAGAGGCTGTGTCTGTGATGGAATCTCTCCCATCTCCTGCCTAACATCCTTAACACATATAACAATCCCATGAAACTGATCATAACCTTGCAGTTTTAATTCACATTAGATCTAGGCCTATTATACTGGGTATGTACACATGCGATTTTTTTTTAACTTGGGACTTCTGATCCTATGAAGGCGTGTGTCATTCACGGTGTGTGGCATGTTTGTAAATGCTGTGAAGATACTTTAATTCCTGGAAAACCAAAAATGAATCCTCCAGACGCAGAGATCTGGTAATGTCCTGCTTGGTGTCTTAACTTGGTTCTTTTTGTTACTAATTTAAATGAGGTCATGGGATGTACAGCTTTTGTGATGGGAAATTTTCAGCTTCCTGCTTGCTGTAACACTTAGTGCAGGGTTCTTGCTGAAGCTTTCAGATTTCACTTTCTGCAAAGACTTTAGATCTAGAGTTTCAAGTAAACAACATACATAAAGGAGACTTATGTTTTGTTACCATGTAACTGGTCTGTACAGATTACTCATTCTGTGGCTTTTTAATGAAATTTGTAGTTAAGTACGTCTGAGGCAAACACATAGAAAACAGATCCTGATCTGTAACAACAGTGTTACCTTATTCCTTCAGTAGGATGTTTCCATCATACAAAAAAGAAGGGTTGGATGGATGGCTTTATTTACAAAATGCTGCTATTGCTGTGTAGTTTTGTTTAATGCCTGACCAATGCTAGCATCTGAAGAACCTAAACTTGCCTTTCTGTTTTTTCTTTTTTATTCTATCTTGATATTTTCCACACCATTTCTCGAAACTGTTCTTTCCGAACTGTATTGGTAAATGCTATTTCTGTTTCTGAGAGGCTTCCTGCTCTTCTTACAGGAAAAGCAAGCTTAGAATGACAGAGGACTTGTGACATTTGGGGCAGTTGATGTAATGAAAGGTCAAGATCTAGAGGAGATTTCTCTAGGGAGCAGTGGTGGGAAGCATTCAGTTATTAACATGTCTACACATACTGATAGCTGAAGGCTTCCTTTCATTTCCTCAAGAGTTTGTTTTTCTCTCCAAGTGAAAGATTGGTATTTTTTGGGGGGCTTGGGGATTGTCTTATTATTCTTTTGGATTTGTCTTCAGGATTCGTTGTCTTCTCTCTTGCACTTTTTTAGTTTCTAAGCTTTATAGTTTCTAGAAGAGTGTTCTAGCACCTGAGTTTTGAATCTGAGATCCATCACTGTATAAAATACTGTGGAAAAAATTTAAAATTTGATATTTTGGGTTATCTAGGATGTAGTTATGACTATATGTAGTTATTAGTTATGAACCTGCAGCCCTTGTAAACCAATATTTTATTTACTTTAAACTTCTTTCCCCCTGTTCCTCTGTTTTACAGGCAGGATGAAGGACCGGCTAAACGAGCTGCGTGAACTTGCCAGGGTACACAACCAACAGTTTTCTGATACTGAGGATGATGAAAATTCACCCCATGATGTTCTCCTTTATGAGACTGATTATGCCTTGGAAATTCTTCATAAAGACATACAGAATGTCCGGACAGAAAATGACCGCCTAAAAGAGGATGTCAAGCGGCTCAGAAAGCAAAACAGCCGCTTCCTTACTTCCATGCGCCGTCTTAGTAGCATCAAACGAGATACTAACTGTATTGCCAGAGACATCAAGGCCCGCGGAGAAAGCATCCACAGGAAACTTCAGATACTGAGAGATTTCAGTGAAGATGCAATAACAAAATATGGGGCTATGTCTGTCATTGCCAGGGTAGCAAAGAACCACTACGTTGATCTCATGCATGCCTTTCAGGAAGCGATGTTTGAATACAATGCAACAGAGATGAACCAACGGGAGAACTGCAAGATTCGAATTCAGCGGCAGCTAGAGATCATGGGCAAAGATGTTTCTGGCAACCAGATTGAGGAGATGATTGAGCAAGGCAAGTGGGACGTCTTCTCTGAGAATCTCTTGTCAGATGTTAAGGGGGCTCGCTCAGCCTTGAATGAGATAGAGACACGGCATAAAGAACTGGTGAAGTTAGAAGGTCGCATTAAGGAAGTTCATGAACTCTTTCTGCAGGTGGCCCTACTAGTGGAGGAACAGGCGGACACCTTCAACGTCATTGAGATAAATATGCAAAATGTTGAGGACTATGTAGGAGAAGCTAAAGAGCAAGTGAAAAAAGCTTTGGAATACAGGAGAAAACACCCCCTCAGAACAATCCTCTGCTGCTGTTTATCCTGTTGCAGAAGGTGACTATCCCACTGAAGCTATCAATCACAGACCGACTCACATGTCTTCCAGATGAGGCATTCTTTCCAGTGATTTTTCTGTAATGACAACCCCTAGAGACAGGGGGGCTATTTTGCAGTTGATTTTGTTCATTGCCTTTTTCCTAAATGTGCTGAAGGCTGTTCTATTTGAGAACTCCTAGAAATGTTGATAAAACTATTTTTGGTTTATTTTTAATTGAAGTGTACTCTGTAGCTGTAACTACAAGTGCAAGAAGATGTCTGCAATGATACTGGTTTCAGATAGGCAAGAAAGAGGAATGAATGATGGGCTGAGAACTCAGCCTAGGGAAAACAAAAAATTTCAAGAAGTAACTTTATTCTTATTTGTCAAAGTGAGTCTGCAGGCAGTGCAGCCTTACTGCATGGTGTGACACAACACACTGCAGAATTAGGAGGTTTCAATTTTAACCAGTTTGGAGCCTGCTTGATGCAAATATTCAGACAGATTTTTGCTCTGTTCATTTGACAAAATACTGAGCCTGTTAGCAGGAGCAGGACATAGATCTAGTTTCTATTTCAACTTGATTTCTATCTGTCATGAAACTTAACAGAAGTAACTGCACCTTAAATTATGATATTTTGTTCTGTTTGTGTGGAAGTTATTGCTTTTCTCCATTTTGAGTACCTGCAACTTCATCAAGGTGGCTAGAAGCACTGCAACACTGAGGTATCTCACTGACTTTTAACTTGAGCCATAATTTCAATGCTTCTAATACATTTTTCTGCTAATTAACACTTCAGCCAGAAAAGGTGCACGCAGTGCCCTTCTGCAGAAGCACCCATCAGAAGACAACAGTTGCAGGGTAGAGAAAGCATTTTAGGGTCTCCTGTGCTGGCACATACACACAAGCAGTTTTAGTGGAAGGATTATCCTGTTAATAGACTTTTATTTTTTTATAAGCATTGATTTAATGTGGATTTTTTGATATATATTTTAAATAACATGAAGGATTAATTTTTTTAACATTCCATTTTACTGGTGTACAAAACCTAAGGCTTTTCTCCCATTATTAGGAAATCTCCACCTGGGAAAGAAAATAGACATATTTCTTCAGTACACCTGAAGAAGAAAGAAAACAACATTTTAATGTCATTTCAGTGCTCTTTTCAAGCTTAAAAATAATCTCTCCTTTTGTGTAAGGGGAGTCTGCCCACAGTAGGTTTGGAATATGAAGAAGGAATAGAAAATTTGCAGCTCTGGAAACCACTGAGCACTGTCAGTGAAGCAGGTGTTCACAAGGTCTGGGGAATGATTATAGCTCCTGCTTCTCGAGGTTTTCCAACTATAATATTTCTAGGTGGCTCCCTGATACAGCGTGATCTATTGCTATCCTTTGAATTAATGCAGGACATTTTTTCAGAAGTCAGTGACTTTTTAAAAAAACTCTGATCCTATTTGTACCTATTTTAATAAATATATTTAAACATTTCAAATATTTTGCATTTGGGAGTTTTCCTCAGGAGATGTGCATAGCCATCTTCCTGCACCAATCACAATGAAATGTTTCCCTTCTGATCTTTTGCACACTAATTTTATATGTGAAAAAAACCCCTTACATTTCTTACTATTTATATTGATATAATAAAACAGCAAAATAAATTCAACTTCCAAGCTTTCATATCCTAGTAGGAAGCACTTCTTAGCCAGACAGGCTTTTTTACACAGAAGCTACATGGATAACTCTCAGAAACTGGAAGTCTCTTTTGCTGAAGCACCTGTGATAACATGGAAGAGTGAGGAACACTGATCTTCTAAACTAGAAGATATTTTGATATTCAGTGATGTCCTGATGATATCAGTATTATGCTTGCCTGAGGACCTCTCCAACAACCCAGTGTTCACACTCGAAGTGGGAGAAAGGAGGGTGTTGAACTGGCACCAGTACCAGTAGCTTTGGTGCTACTCAGGAAGACAAAGTCATTTATTCTGTAGGTACTGCCATTCAAGGCAGTGGAACTGTGCATCTGTAGAGAAATACCCTAAACCTCTGAGGGTCAGCATGTAGGCATAAATCAATGAAGAACTGAATATGTATTTCATTTCATCTGCATATTCTGAGCACTCACTAATGCTTTTGATAAAAATGTGTACTGGGGTTTTTTTCTTGGTTTCTTTTTTGCACATATGTATGTCTACAAATGGAATAAAAGATTTAATAAGAAAAACTGAACAAGCAGAGTGTTGTAAATTGAATCAGCAGCTCTGATTAGTTTCTTGCGTTGTCAAAGTTTTGTTTAAAAGCAGCCAGACTAAACTCTGAGTTGGTGAAAGGAGATTAAACAATGCCTAAAACCAAAAGTCCTCCTAATATTTGTTGCCACAATAAATGAAACGTGTTGTATATTGAGATAGACTTCTCATAATTTTTCCTACAAAAACCATGAAAAATGAATTTCATACATCCTAAGATGATCCTCTACTGCAAGAAAAAATACAAATTTACTCTTACAGTTTTGAGAGAGCTTGATGATGAGTAGAAATGCAAAGCTTATATTCAAATCTTTAGTCTGATTTGAGACACAGAGAAAGAGAGAGAAAACATGAAGAAAAAGGTAATTGGAGACTTTGTCTCTTGACTTAAGGCTGTTGCTGCAGGGAAGAAACATAATCATTGAAACACCAGCTTGGGACCCTTTAAAACTCTTTTTAAGTTGCATTGTGTATTACAGGCACTTAAAAAATTGCTTCCAGTAACTGAAGAAATCATCCTCTTCCTTGCAAACATGTGCTCATTGCTTAATACTATGGGGTTTTTATATCCTTGAGTTGTGTAAGAACTCTAATTTTGCCAGCCCATGAACTTGCCTAGTCACAGTTAAACTGACTTTTGAAAGAAACTGATCACACTATTGTTGCAAAGACTCATGCCACACAGGATGAGTGGAAGAAGATGATAAAAGTAGCTTGATGGTATGTTAGCATAGTAATAACAGAAGTCGCTGAATGGACATCTTCATGCTTGCTAAGGAAAGCTGCCTCTTCATTCTGAAAGTCAACAGGACTCCTAAGGAGATGTGTGTAGCATATTCAATGGGTTGTTTTGGGTTTTTTTTTTTCCTTTCCCTGATGTGGCCAACCCTATAGCTGGATTTGAGGGGGAAGTAGTTAAAATGTGAGAGGGGTTGCTTTAGCTTTTAGGTACTTTGGTTTTGTTTCTTACTGAAAGCAGCAGAAGCTTCACAAACAAAAACCCCCAAACCTACCCTATGCATCTCAGCCCTTTCTGAGAAGGAGAAAGGAGAATTGCTAACCAGGCACACCTTGCTCCTTAAAAGGTAAAGAAACATTGCATAAATATAAAAGAGAAAAAATCCCCAACTATTACAAAACATAATGTTTGAAATAGAATGGTGAACATCCTGGATATGTGTATGAGTCTCCACTTCATCTTACGTGTTTTTGTTTTTTTGGGGTTTTTTTTTGGAACATGGATTTCGTTTGAGAGACGTGGCAGTCAAACTCTTGCTACCTCAATGCAAAGGACCCAGACTATGGATGCACTTGAGCAGGCATCTCTCTGGCACGTGTCTTGGGAAAAGCTTCTAGAAAGTATAGCTCTTAGTTTAAGACCCAGATACCTTTTTTTTTAAGACGAGAAAACCTGAGGCTGGACTGAGTAGCTAAGCTAAATTGCTGCTTTTCTAATCTAAGGAGGCCGACTGGGCCATTTTGAATGCACAGCCTGAGTTGTATTTTATGATTTCTTGAAAACAAAACGGATTCTTTAGATTTTTGAACCATGGTAGATATTTGGAATTGATTGGAAAAAGGAAAGAGCTACACACGGTTGTGTTTCTATCTCTAGAAAAATATCACAGATATGATGAAGGCAGGAAACAGTATCATTTCATAGATATGGTATGTGGTGATTACAGTTAAACTATTTCTGAAGCAATGTGATTTTCACAAGGAGCCATGGTTTTTGTTTCTCTGAAATGTGAGAAGCCAGTAGCACATCTATCTTCTTCCATGTTTCTAGCATATTTATATAGTGTCTTCATAATAGTTGAGCTGAAGCCAGTAAGGACCAGTGTAAGACAGCTGCACCGTCATACCTTACCTAATAGTGCATACACTATTAGGGCACAAAGGCTTAACAGCATAAAGTAACATTTTACTATGTTTCTCAAAAATAATGTTAGATGTGAATAAAGAATGGTGTTTTTCTACTCAATACCTTTGCTGAAAGGCACAGCCCTACTGAACAGGGAGTAACATTTGCTATGGTACGATGCCCGTTTCAAGCAAATGATACAGCATGAGAAGTTCCAGCCAAGGAGCTGTTCTTTCCTTAATGGGCTCCAGCATATGAATAAAACTAAGGAAAAAAAAAGGGGGGTGAGTTTCGCATCTGTTCTTCCCATTTGTAAAATGTTAAGAATCAACTTTTATTGGGTGTGAGAAGTATTTTCCTTCACAAGCACACCTGGTGTACTGGGCATCTGAACACTAACAGCTGCAGAGGTTAGGCACCATCTGCAGCCTGCAAATTCGAGGCCCCCCCTTAACAGAGGGCCGCCAACAACCAGGATGCCTAACAACCAAGCAGGGTTGTGCTCCTGTTCTGCTTAGGGGAGAGCGAGATGGCCTCTGCGTGCCTCCTCCAGCTTGCTGGGGGCTGCACAGCCCTGCCTCCCCAGCCTGGTCTCATCCCTCAGGGGCAGGCTCAATGACGGCGAGGTTGGGTGGGATGGAGGATGTCCATTTTCTCCTTCAGAAGGCGTCAGGAGTGAGAGCCAGTGGGGGGGAAGGCTGGCGATGGGGCACCTTCCCATTCCCCCTCTGGTGCGGGGCAGGAGGGGGAGGTCCCAGTGCAGGTGCTTAACTGGGGATAGTGCAGTAGGCACGTCTGTACGCCAGGCATGCAGTGGTGATTGGCAAGGAATCTTTCCTCTGCAATTATTTTCCTCCTAATTAAGCATAATTCATAGTGTTGGGCTTTGTTCGTTTTGGGTTTGGTT